TACAATGTGAAATGGGAGCAAGTCAAAAAGGGAACTTATCGGATGTGGGAGTCCCGGACGGCGGTAACGTGTTTTCTCCGCAGTTTGGCCGCTACACGTGTTCCATGATTGTCCGTGGAATTGGAGTGCTTGGGCTGACTCCTTGCTCCCTGCGCGCGCACGAGTCCGTGTGTCCTAACTGGGTTCGGTTTCCCTTTATTTTGTTCCCAGTGCGTATACGTGGGCGCGTCGGCACATGAGTGGTTGCTACGCTGACTAGGCGGTGCAGACAATCGGTGTCCGATGTGTCAGCTTAATGCGACGTTTGTGCGTATGAGAAAAAAGACAAGCCTCGCGATCCAGTGAGCGACTGTGAGTTGAACAGTCAAGTATGTAGGTGACTGGGTCGCTACATGGCCTCATCAACCAAGAGTAATTCTCTGAATTGCTGTATGTAACGGGTAGGACATTGTCGGCTTGGGAGAAAGAACAAATTCGCCGAACAATTGTGTACCCATGTTCGATTGGTTTTGACTTTCCAAAGGCTGTAAACAGCGGCCTGGTGATGAGAAGACATCCAGATTGCAAACGAGTAACAAGGGCGTCGCTGATTTAAACGATCTGTACTTCACAGCCAAACCGGCAGTGCGGTTGGTTCATTCACGTTTGGATTGAATTCGGAAACCGCTCAAAGTGTACTTGCAGCAAAAAGAGAATTCCAGAAACAATTGGAGGTTTTTTGGGAGGACTCGGTTCCTCTGGCAGGTTACTTTTTCATATATTCTGCAGGCCTGTTCAGCTTATCTTTCTCTGCTGACAAAAAATCTTGCGTTCTTTTTGTTTTTGTTTAAATATCCGCATGGTTTGAAAAACAACACAGTGACGAACATTAATGCTTTCGGGATCTCGTCATCAGGTCAGTACATCTCTGATGGTTAAAATAGGAGCGACTGTTTAGTGAAAGCAGGCATTGATCAGCTACACTGAGGAACCATTGGTCCAAATTCATTGCTTCGGAAAGACCGAACTTCATGATTGTCATTTTATCGGCAACTTTTAATTAGTGTAAAAACAGCCGATGGCTCATTGGAAAGTTTATGAAGTTTTTTAATTTTTTTTATTGAAGTTTTTAATGCTGCTGTGAGCCCTTCATTCTGGACCACATTCTGAAGCGGATCGTGTCCCTAAGGTGACTTTCAGAGACCAACAAGTAAATGTTTTCACTTGCTTAAGTCCAAACCAGACATTGTACGACCCATGTATTAGCAGTGTTTTCATACCCTCCATGGTCTGTCTTTCGATTTGTGATCACTAATTAGACGACTGACGTCACCTGATGCCTAGCCTACTTCCTTATGTTTTAGTTTTCGGTCACGAATTTCGTCTTCGCTTTATGAGTCACGTGCGCTGTGCACAAATGGCAATTGGCCTGTATCAAAAGACGTGCGACAGTCCCAAATGCTTGTGTGGTGTGCTAACTACATGCACGCAACTGTTGCTCAATAGGGCTCGTGAAAAATGGTAAAAACTCGACTCACACACCAAAAAGAAACAAATACACCTGTACAACATCTAAAACCATGACAGACATGACCATACTTGTTTCAACTAATCCGTACCGCGAACTCCCGGAGAATTTTTGGAGAGGCGATTCCGCACTCTGCGTAAAAACAGATGCGCTTAGTGGGCTATTAGTGTCTACCTCAAAATGTCCACTGACTTTACAAAGCATACGATAAAAAGACTATATTTCGGGAAGATAGACATAACATAGAAAAACAAGCATCACTCGGTCTACCATGATTAAAATGGGTAGCACATATCTGAATAATACGTTAAGGCGAGGCGAGGCGAGGCGAGTATTTCAGGTTGCGCTTATACGAAATAGAAGGCTTAGTCGTCAACACATACATGCTGATGTAATGACGGCTTGTGGTAAAGAAAAGTGCTTTTTGTTTCGACTGGTTTGATGCTCTTTACCCAACGGCTTTATAAGGTGGATGTGATTTACTTGTACGGAACCAGTACAGTGTGCCTTATGTTAGAGCTGCTTACTTCATTATTCTAAGGGCACGGGTTGTTATTGGGGGTTCGCTTTGTATGGATCTGTAGACAGATCAGTGGTTAAGACGTGTAACTGCTGACCGGAGGATCTGTAATTTGAACCCGACCTGTGCATCTCGACTCTCTCTGTCTAATATTGGGCAACCTGGCAGTATCCCAGCCCTCGTGCTTCCTTCGGGTGGCATAAAAGCTGTCACTGAAAGGGTGTTACAGCTGAACGATTCTTACCATCCTTCTGTGTGGACAGCTAAATCGGTCTCTTTCAGAGCGGGTTTTCAAGCATCATAGCTTGGGTTTTTTGTGATCCAGCAGATATTCTGACTAATCGAATCGAATCACAAGCTTCGGTGGCCTGTGATACGCAGCCCCACATATATTACACCTAAGGATCTTTTTTTTAACTTGCCGAGTTTAGTAGAGCGAATCTAGAGGTTGGGAATGCAATATGTGGCAAATTGATCTGAAAAAGCCTACCACAGCTCCAGGCTGTTGCTCATGCTATCTACACTTCAGGGAGGACCTTCACAGGAATGACAACATACCTGTGTGAAGAAACAGTGAATCGGTGTCCTCGTTTTTCCTGCTTTCAGTTTATACCTAACTCGCTTCAGTGATTATTGGGAGTTTGGGTAGCTCGAGTCTTAACAATAGAACAATCAGAACTCCTGTCACATCAAATCCACTCGTTCAGTATATTTCATATCACCTCTACACAGAAGTAGGAGTGCCGAAGCTACTTGCCACTGGCGAAAATATTAGGACGTAAACCAGATGGATTATATGCGTATTTCGCCTAATTTTCTTAAACAAGGAATTAAAGGTAATATGTACGCTTATTCCACACAATGTCTCACGTGTAATTCGATAAGTGATCAAAACTAAATAAAGCCTTTGGAAGTTCACAAACTTGACGTATGTGAGGAAGCTCCCATGCCTACTTCATTGGACTATGCTAACGGATCGTGTGCGGTAATTCATTGTGACTTGCGTCAAGCAGACGCCACACAGAAAAGATAAGAGTTTGTAGTTCGACCGCTGTAATTCGGATATGGACCTAGTTGATTGTGAGCAACAAAGTGGGTGCTCGGGCAAGCAACAGTTCTGTTGTGGCCGGTTTTTGGTTTTGCAAGCAAGAAGTTACATCACAATGCACGCAGCCACAACAGTACGTTAAACCGCGTTTCACACTTATGATATCCTCATGCATAGAAGTGCAGGAATCGCTGAAGCCTTAGCGGAACCTATCTGGGAGTGAGTAGCTGCAGAGCTCAACAGAGAGGTGTGTTTTGTTACATGACGATATCAGTCTATTAAGTAGTCCCATTTGAGAGCGGAACATCACTCGCAAAATTGTGCTCTGACTTAAAATGTCATATGTGTTCAGCCGAAGTCGTGAATTTTACATGCAAATGGACGAAAGTCAGCTTCGTTTTACCAAAGGTTTGGTAGAAAATATATTTGTCACCTGATTAAATGCAGCATTTTCCCAATATAAAATGTAATTTAAGTTTTCATAAAGAAAACTACTCATTAGTTTGCTGAAAACTCATGAACAGCCCACGACCGGTTTCGCCCTTTTTGCGGCTCAGCAGGTAGATGCAGTCCCCGAGTTTACGTCAACCTTATGCTCCACTTGAACCCAAAGTTCAATAATTCCACAACTCATCTTCGTCGGTCAACTAACTTGGGAATTCTCGCAGACTAGGTCATCGTGTGCGTCAACTCAAGAATGAAACAGCACGAGTTGCCTCATTCACCAGTGTTATCAGGATAGTATGACACTCCCGCAACCACTGTGGATGAAGAAATGCAACTTGCCTATCACTCCCTATCTGAATGGTGTTTAGCCACCGCTCCGTATTTCGTTCGTAAGCCCGTAAGCCCCCCTTTCCCTCCTTCACAAAAACAATATGACGCAACCACTACACCCTGATTGGTCCGACATGGCGTATAAAGATACCATCGTAAACTAAGTGCTGATGCCAGTTTTGTTAACAAAGTTCAGGGCACTGGCTATATTCGTCTGAATTGTACCAGCAGACGAAAAGACGGTGAAATTTGTCCAGATTCGGTTGTGATAGCGTGTGTTTTCGTACTCCCTTACCAAGCCTGACTGACTGACTGCCTGACAGAATGAGAGCACTAATTAGTTGATTTGTAAATCCTGACTGACTGACTGCCTGACAGAATGAGTTCACTAATTGGTTTTTTTGTAAATTACTGGGTGCATGAATGAATTGGTGATTAGTTGCACGGCAGTACGGTGTCGCTAAGCCTCAAATAGATCACGGCATCGGAGCACAGAACCAATCACCAGCCAAAACTGACCTCATTATTTCAACCTAGTCCAAACAGTATCGCGTGTATAGCAGATGACGTAAATGCGTATTGCACTGAGTGGATTAATATTTGATCAGAGACACTTTCTGTAGGTCTTGCAATCTTGACTAATGACGTACGAAATCAATAGTCGCTGAGCTCCTATTCTAGTAATCTCACATATTTATGGTCTGTCTGATTCTGGATGTGAGTGCGTGCAATATATGGTTTCGTACAACACTTACTTCAAACACGAGTTTCTTTTACTGGTTTCGCTCAAAACGGCAGAAGCCAGCCGTCTTTATACTGTCCATGATACTAGGGAAGATGATGTCGTAAGCTCCATGAAAATAGGCCCTGCGGTAGCCATAACAGAGCGAAAAGCTTACTTTTCGCTGTGCCGAGAAAGAAAGGGGATCGAATCATGAATGGATGTAAAAACTTAGCTTTCGGCTTTTGAAATCCAGGGAAGAAGCTCCCCATCAGAAGAAACGATCAACATAGTACACGACAACGTCGCTGTTCAATGCATTACGTGGTTTGTTTCACCATATTATGGCTGACTCATAAAAAATTAGACTTTGACCGGTTTGAACGGTAGGTTGATCGACCAGCGCCTGTTCATTCTACCGGGTCAGCTGATCGGCACCTGTGAGAATCACTGGCTGAGGGAAAAAGCCAGTAAAAAATCGAGTTCACTGACACGATCGAGGCTCCATTATTACAACAAAATGACAAAACCGTCTTCAGTAGAAGTACGAAACACGATGGATGTGGATAGGCAGCTCGACAATTCCAGCAGTGCCATCAGCGAACATCAGATGTCTGAGAGCCTACTCCACCTACTTACTTCAGACAGATATGTAGATGAAAAATGCGAGGCGGTTGTCCATTCGTTAGCCGACTTGAATATGTTGACCGGATCACACCGTGGCCCAGCAATACCTTTAAGTTTGTTGGAAGAAAACCCTCGTGTCTGCATCACCTGTGGCGTGGACTTTAAGTCTCGAGCCAGTCTCCATGCTCATTTAATGAGACATCGACACATACTAGGAACCCTTGAACAATTCACCCGACTTCCAAAATACGAGTGCCGTAGCTGTGAAGGTGGAATAAATTGTTCTTCTATGCTCAAACACAAATGTTTCAGCAAACAGCAAGCAGATATCAAGAATCGCATTAAACAGCTCGATAGGGATGGCAGTCCATTAGTATGCATTTTGTGCCGTGGTCGGTTACTACCTTCCAGAGTGCATCTGATTATTCACATCATCGTTGCTCATTCAGTACATCGGGACCCCTACAGATGTGTGTTTTGCCAGGCGAGGTTTAGTTCCGAAAACCTAATGATGCAGGAAGTGCATGCATTCGACTGTCATGCACCAGAACTTTTCATGATTACACGTAAAGCCTGTTACAGAATGATTCGCAACTCGAAAGGTGGTGTGGCGGACGCGTCCGTTCCGTTCACGTGTTTCTACGATGCGGCGAAGTTGGAAGGGGCAGACTTGAGCACTTTGTTTCGACCACGTAATCGGGAGTTACAATCCGATACTGAAGGCCCGCATGTAGAGAAGCCAAGTCAAGTGGGTCCAAAGCGTAGTATATGTACGGCTTCGTTTAATAGCTTAGATGAGTTTACCACGCACTTATGTTGCTTTCATGGAGCTGTTGCACCCGCAAAATTGAATTCCATGGAAGAGGAAGATCCTATTGAAGAAGTTCGACGGAATCAAGCAAGAACAACCCGTGTGCCCGGTCCGACGGTTCGAGAGTTGCTTAAAAATCAAGTGGCTGGGGTTCATGCAGCTAACAAGACCAGTGACGGTGAATTTGGTCCGCCCGGTTTGCAGAAGCCCAGGATGTCCGGCTTTCCCAGAAAACCCAAACGAATAGTGCGAGCTGGACCGACGCTTCATCCACGACGGTGGCCTGCTACGAGCAATTATGGTTCAACACAAACGGGGACTGCGAAACCTCGAGAAATGTGTCGCATATGTCTAGAGTACTTTTCAGACCAGATAAAACTTAGTCAACATATCACGACGTATCATTTGCCAGAGAGCCGAAAGCGGCTGAGGCACTTGGCTGAGAAACAGAAACTTTCTGGCGTATTGAATATTGATTTATTGTGCACCGAATGCTACATAATGTTTCCAGATTCTCTAGCATTGCAAGTGAGTTCGCGTTAGTTACAGTGAGGTTTGATAAGCAAACGGTGGACCTATTGCTTAACGCTTCACTTTTGATACAGAAGTTCAGTCAGACTAAGTGAACAGGTAACAAGGTTAGCGAAATACACTCACTTTTAAACCAGTTTGGTTTTGACGGGAGACTCATCTGGAACCCAGCTGAATTTGTCGTTTATGGTGTTTTTAAGCAGTTGAATGTGCTGCACCAGGCCGCCTCTTGTTTCAGTTGGCACGGGATTCGAGATATCGCGATACGTGTATAGACGTAATACACTGGTCATAAGGTTACTGAAGACCCTTCGACAGCCCAGGTCACAGGTTGACCTATTTTAAGACGAACGGAGATTAAGTGGCAGATTTAATCGACGCTGAACGTTAAATAATTGGTTCTTGCTGATTAGTGCAGATGGGCGGGCTGGGGAAGAATTTTCATCAGGCCAAATTGGGTTTTTTGGCCTTGCGATCCCCCGGCTCAAGGCACTTTGGTTGAATATTATCCTTAGACGTCTGGTAATGTGTTGAAACATTGTTAGCTCAGGTGAGTCTATTGGTTGTTGATCAGGCGGCTGTTGATTTGTTCGCCGAGCTTGGCAACTGACTTGCAAACGTTTCGTCACCTTACGAGGAGACACCGTCAGTGCGAAGTTAGGTGGGTACTTCCTCCCTGTCTGCGTGCGTTTATATAGCATCCAAAGGCTATCTGTTATCTTCTGACGCTATTAGCTACTTGAAGTGTAACGAATTTAGTGGATCTATTGGTCCTTAGATGTCTATCCGTAATGCTTTACTCATAAGGTTGCCGAAAATTCATCAACAACCTACGACCGGTTTCGCCCTTCCTGCGGCTTATCAGGGCTCATCACTAAAACATGAGGCGGCCTGATGCAGCACATTCAGTTGTCTGGAAACATCACGAACGAGAGATTCAGCTGGGTTCCAGTTTAGTCTCTCGAGAAACCAAATTTGTTTGCATATGAGTGTATTTCGCTCCTTAGATGTCGTTTACAACTATTGTTGGTCTGTGTGGATCAGTAGGGTCTAGAACAATTCGCTTGGGGAAATTAGATGAATTTTGGTCGGCGTGGGATTTGTACCTTAGTCTCATGTGGCTTCACTGATAACCATACACATCCACATGTTAGATCTGCTGATCCACGGCTGCTATTCAGACATTTTCCAGTTCTATGCCTTTTATCCCATTCAAGCTAGGATGCGTTGCGATTTCCACCATCTTGACTACTTATCGGTGTGTCCAATGTCCAGCGCGTACCCGGAACTTGATGACTCTTCAAATATGCCTGATATTCGCTCCTTAGATGTCGTTTACAACTATTGTTGGTCTGTGTGGATCAGTAGGGTCTAGAACAATTCGCTTGGGGAAATTAGATGAATTTTGGTCGGCGTGGGATTTGTACCTTAGTCTCATGTGGCTTCACTGATAACCATACACATCCACATGTTAGATCTGCTGATCCACGGCTGCTATTCAGACATTTTCCAGTTCTATGCCTTTTATCCCATTCAAGCTAGGATGCGTTGCGATTTCCACCATCTTGACTACTTATCGGTGTGTCCAATGTCCAGCGCGTACCCGGAACTTGATGACTCTTCAAATATCGCCTGATATTAATCTGTGGTTCTTGGTGGTTTGTTTAGGCGCCATTAATGCCCAGTGGCATCTCATCGGCTGTTCATCCGGTGTAAGCCTCTGTGAAATCATTGCATTTCACTTTATATCTACTATCCATGGTTTTATCTACCAACTAAACCATTGGCGAATGTGAAGTTCTAGAAAGCTGATCCAACTTTCACTGTATTGGCACCCTTCGATTGACCTCAGATATCCCAGTTTTGTACGGAGTCAATTGCCGCTTAATTAAATCTACTGGCCATCCTTTTTCTTAAAATGTCCCTTTTGTATCCGTTTAAAGTACCTTCTTTTCGACTCATTCAGTGCACAGCAATCTTAGTTGCCTGAATATTACTGAAACTATGCAAGAGTATACCGTCTTAAGATGGGCGGATGGGTGATTGGAGATGGCATCATCACCATCAGCATCATAGACGACAGCAACAGTAGATTAGAACACTGGTGTTCACTGCCATACAACCATTTAGTTTATTTGAATAAAGCTTTAGAATGGAAAGAAGAAAAAAAGTAAGGCAAGGGGACCGAGGGCTTACCCACAACAATCAGCATATGTCACAAGCACTCTCAGACTATCGGGATAGAGACTAACAGCATCATCGCTATCGAAACCGGTTAGCCGCCTTATGGGCCATTATATCCAGCCAAGCGCAGGGAGGGTCAAGTGGACCCTACCCAATGTCCATAGCACCCAAAATTTCCGTAACTTCCCTCATTCACTTCTTCTATGTCAAACTTGGTCCCGCTCTAGGTTTCCGCCACTCCGGTTTAGACACGGAAAACAAAGTCCAACCCAAGAAGCGATAACTCAGCATACGTAACTCATGGACCAGCCACCTTAGCATGCATTGCTGGATGCACTCTTTGAGTGAAGAACCATCCGCTTCATTGAGAACCCGTATGGGCACCAGTCGCGGTTGGCAGCCTAGGTAATACCTCCTTGCAAGTAAGGTAATAATCATAATTAATAAGGATAGCATTCATACCAAAGTGATTTTGATCTGTACAGCAGAGAATAAGTTATGTTATGGCCATGCAAAGAGTGTCAGAGAATAGTTGCAGCGAAATCGCTTGGAATTCGGACGTTGACTGGAGATCATATTGGACTGTATTTATGTCTAACTTCATACCAAACTGTCAGCAGTCGTTGTAACCCATGCTATGTCGAGGCAGACAAATCAGAATAGATTTTCCAATCGAATGTCAAGAAGATGTGCAGCAAGTTCGGTATTTTCCGAGGGCAGCCAAAATCATGAGCATACATCTGTTGCAATAAAACTGTCGCTCTCAGAGGACAGTACACAGTGAGGTTACAAGAACACTAATACATATCCTGTTCTAAATGTCTGTTCTTTTCCGAATTGTGCCGTACTCACGATCTCACCAACCGTAGTTCACAACGAAACCGAATCCTTAATGAGTATCGACTCACCCGTCCTGGACTCCTCTTCCTATGTCGTTTGAAAATGAAGGGCAAAGGTTTGTTCACTAACCGATGTGACAGAGGTGCCTATTGAGTTCCAGGTGTTCGCTGTCCTTCGGAATTTTCAATGAGTACTGGAAACTGAGTTGACAATTATCCTGGGGCATTTTGGTGACCACCCCTTCGGAACTGCTAACAGGTTCTGACCTGCTCCGGATCTTAAGCACTTGTGAGGTCATGGGGCGTGACAACCAAGCTGGGCCCTGTCCAGGTCATACAGGCTTTCATCACATTTTTGTTCTCTGAAGACTCTTAGGGCATCTCCACACATACAGAAGACCTATAGCTGTCGCCGCCATAAAATTATTCGGTTGTAGAGCATTGTGGCGATGCCGAAGAGTTCGATCGTATTTCTTCACCTTTCTCTAATTCCGAAACCATTGGATCTACGACGAACAGTTTCCCGTATGTCAACATGGGAGCCCGGAATTCATTGAGGATGAAGTGGAAACTACTGGGCGTTTTGTGTGACGTAATATTAGCTGGTTGGTCGGAGGAATAAGACAAAGTTTCGGCCACCAAGGATGGTCTTTATCAAGATCTAACTAAATGACATTAACCAACCGTTACATGAGTCAACTCCGTCGCGAGCTCGCCATTTCATCTGCTGTTTGATTGACAGATTGGACGTGGGCATGCGCAGAAGCCACTGAAGCCGAGATCGTCACCATGCTATGCATCTGTTTGACATTCTGATTGAGACGCGCCACATAGCAGGTATGTGCTATCCGTTGTTCCGATTCATGCAGCTGCACCGGGTGTGAATGGGTACCACCCGGGCGTGGCATCGTTGTGCTTATGCCGACAGGCCTAACTGAGTGACTCTGGATTGTTCAAACTGAGCGATATGGTTTTCTCATACGGCGTGCAGAGCGGTGGTTGAAACTTTTTAAACCTGGTGACCATGCGCGTCATTTTCCCACTGGCTTCCTCTACATATATCAGAATGCAATCTGTGAATCAACTCCTGTAGACTCAGTGCTTGCTCATCCGGTGGTTAGTGGCCATTAGGTCCACTGGATGTCTGTCTATGGTATTGCCTATTGTAATTGCGATTAGAATCAATTGAAAGCCGTGGCAATTTGTTCGGAGGTCCTCCCCTGGTACAGTGGCTGGACGGTTGTGTGGTAGGTTCGGTTGTCTGGTGCTTGCCTCACTGCACCAGAAATAAGGTGGAGCGATCGTTTCATTCGAGTATCTCTTTGATTCTGCTTACCCCTATGCATCAGAGCAGGCTCCTACTCACCACCGGTTGTACCAAGAGTGCTTTCATACCCACTGGTTGAGACGCCTGGAAATCCAAACAACAAACAGAAAGGATTGGCTGGCGATGAGTTTTGAACCTTGAAAACGGCAAATTTCTGGTGGTGTCTAACTATTGGTAGCTAGGGTGGGTTATAGTTGGCTGTTGAACAGGTGGCGGTTGATCTGTTCGATGAGCTTGGCAAGTGTCCTGCAAACATTTCGCCAACATGCACCGTTGGGTGGTCGATTCCTCCACTTCTGCTTGCATTTATGACTTGCTAAAGCATAGTTCGTAACATGTACTGAATCTAACTTGACCTCGTGATAATCCCCCCATTCATTTGCTTACTCCACCCGTGGACTTTTGATCTCCACAGATAAGCAAGAGCCTATCTGTTCCAGCTTATCTGCACCAGCCATTCATGTTGCGGCAAAGGCCGTTTCATCCGACAATGGCATCTTATCATGCGTTTGTGTGTGTAAAGGTGTGCAGCTGACCTTACCTATGCGTGTTCGGGCCCCGTTCACTGAGCCTGTCCTGACCTGTTCAGTCATCATTTCCATGTGATCGCACCGGCAATCAGAATCACGAGACTGGCCTTGAGAGTGGCGACCACAACCCACACCACCGCTCGCTGCTGTTTGGTGTGCGGGCCTTGACACTGCGCTGTGCCGGTCAGTGACAGATTTACGCACTTGCTGACGCCACGAACATGGACAATTGAGGTTTCTTGTATAAATTCACCCACCTTTGTGTAATTAGTGCCGTAAACTTTCGAACCCAATTGTTCGTTTTGATATTCGAGTTCTGTCAAATCTACGCGTGACTCAAGGTTCCGTATCGGGAACCTAAGCAACGTGATTAGAATGTACACAAACAAACAGAAGTGGAGGAATAGGCTACCCGACGGCGCCCTGGAGATGTACTCGTGCATGGTGACGAAAGGCTTGCAAGCCAACTGCAAAGATAAGAGAACCGATCGATAGCCACCTAGTTACCAGCCCCCTCAAGGCTGCAGTGGCACAACGTGAAACCTGGTTGTGATGTTTACGATCGTGTTTGCATTTACTCATTCGGATAGCAGTATTGTTAACAAAGTAAGCAGTGGGACTTTGCAAGCTCAGTGGTTTTTTATTCTGGTCAGGCTCCTATGGCACAACGATTACCCCCAAAGGTTTCGAAATCTTTGGCCGTAACTAAGGGGAACATCCCACAACACTCATTTCGACTGTATTCACTTCCACTACGTATTGTCAAGCTTTGGCCTGTTTTCCACAAAAACTGTCAACGAGGAAAACAAAGCTTTCTTCGCTGAAAGTTAGTTCCAAGTATCAGGGGAATGTCCATTTGCTCTAGCGATTCTGTCTTGTCACTAATTACTTGTTCACGTAGCACCTAAATGTAGACAGACTGCAGTCAGATAAAGGTTATTGTACCACGAAAACGGTGTTCGGATGCTTAAAAAGACGATACGAGTAAGCAGTATTTCGAGCAAAGGTCTAATTCAGGTAAAATCTCTTCTATTAACGTGAGACCTTGAGGATGTGAGTAAAACTTTTGTCAGGGAACACCTGCACGCAGGCCTCGAAACGTCTCAAACCTGAAATAAATGGCGATTCTGAAATACCAACTGATTTCAAAGTGATTTTTGGGTACTCACTGGGGGCAGCAAAGAACCGCTGTTGGTGCAAGCCGGACAACCAATCGATACCCGTAACATTCTTCTGTCGAGGACATTTCTAAAACTGACTTGTCCAGTGTAAGGTGGACTAAAATGGAGCGAACCAGAATAGCTCGATGCTGTGATGTAAGCCAACACACTGAACACAGCGGAAAGTCTTCTCTAGTTTCTGAAAAAAGGTATTGTGATAAGAAGAAAGTCACTTGTAGGGTAGGAAAATAGACAAAGAGGACAGCCTACAAGTTAGACAGGAAGTGTCATGAAAACGGAACGTTCAGTGAGCACAAAAGATGAAAAAAAAACAGTCGAAAAGTTTGTTGTTACTCCGTTCACTGTTGAGGAGGATGTCGGTAGTTCAACTTGCGTTGGTAGGCAGCAGTTTGCGCCTTTGGCTCAGCACCATGGCTGCAGGCTTTTTGTCCAGGCGACATAATCACTGTGTCGTTGTAGAGCGTAGTGGAGCACTGCATCAGTGGTTGTGCCAAGCTTCACTACGCGCCATGCGACGGCGCACTGATGGCGTCATTTCGAATAAAGTATTTGCAACCAAACTGTTCTGTTAAGGGAACAAACAAACGACGACTGGGCTTACCCATACAGCCATTTTGCACCCACTTAACTACATGTTGTAACTCTGACAGTATTTGCGCAGTTACAGATGTAACCTTCTGTTTTATGCGTTGTTGTGTCGTTCGAGTACGTTCATGATGAAATCGACTATAGTGTTTTATTTATAGGATATTTTTGCGCAAATTATATGTTCAGCTTAGACACATCACCATGTCAGAGGCGCCAGTGCAATTTCGCCCCATAACAACTGGGGCATATCCTCATCATAAGGCTACTCATCATAACGGAGACCTGTAGCGGACTAGGACCTTATCAGCGTGTTCGGATAAATTAACAAGCAAAGTAACCAATACAAAATCACAAAATCACAATAGGAAAAGAATGAGTAGTCAAATGGGGACTCACGTCCACTACACCGATCCAAATGCAGTAACTGGCTGTGAAATGATATATTCACTTATCGAAATTTCCCGCAGATGGTTCCGCGTGAGTGATATATTCCACGGTAGGAAAGTTATACACGGCTAAAAATGTCACAGGGATTTACTGTGACGTTCAACAGTTGACACAAACATAGAGGTCTAGTCCCACTGTTTCAGCAGTCAACAAACAGTTCAACGGAGCGTAAATACACCCTTTCAGCAAGAAGTGAGCAGGTTGCACCGGAAAATTGTGTATTCATAACATTAAAACAAACGTCATGATACAATATGTACGACAGTTACAAAGTGTGGTTTAAGTTCAAGAAAAAATGATAACTTTAACAACGGATTACAGACACTACAGACCCTATTTTGCGTTAGTTTGTTTGCTAAGGCTTTTCTTCAATTTTGATCCTGATTCTAGCAGCACTCATTCGATTTCCATCATACATCCTTACCTCGGATACATATTGTCATGTTCACTGCAGCGCTTGCCAAACAGAGCGTCTAGGGAGAGAGAAAAGCTTCTGGAAGAACGTGCGTTCTTGACGAATTGAGAGTGACGGGAGCACTTCTGCAGGAATAGCATGTTTGGTCCACTAGAAGTTAGAATAGAAAACAGAAAATGAAAAGATTTCAGTAAATTTTCATGCAGGGGTTTACCTAAATGTACTCTCTCCAACTCACTGTTCATTCGTGCATTCTGTGGACCGCAAGGCATGTGATTTGCGTGTCTAATTGATTAGTTCTACAAGGATGTAACACATCAAGCTGGTAATTAAGTAGGCTGGGAATTAGACTCATGCTTTTGTATTTTTAAACTAGTATGGAACTTCACTGTTCCACTTGACGTGCCAGTGAATCTGATTTCCCCAAGCGGTTATCGACGTTAGTTGAACTTGCTGGATAGTACTCATTCTTACGCTCATTCGTAACGGTTCCGATCATGGCGAAAGGATTCAATGAAGCGATTTTCAGAGAGTAAGGAGGGTGAAAGCGGCTAAAGAAGTATTGGAACATGTCAGGAGACTGCGATAGTTTAAAGGTATTAAATCGCGTGAGACCTTCCGCCCATTGATTGACTCAAAACAAGTGAAGCGACAAATGTTTAGTTATTTTGGAGTGCTTCAAAATGTATTGCTCTGTGTAACATTAATTATCTCGATTCTGTTAAATTGGCAGGATAGCTACCTCATTACAACGGACCCCCTTGCCCGTAAGGAAGAATTATCTGTCAGTTTGAGGCAGTTGTCGAAAGGTGATCAACTGAAATCTTCTGTGGATGATAGAACATCAACCGTTCCTCACCATTTTTGCTTGATTAAGACTACGCAAACCATACGACCCCACAGATTCTTTATAGCCACATGTGGTCTTACTTTCCCAAGAAAAAACACTGTTTTGATCGGTCACGATAGTGTACGCGTCTTAGCGAGTGCATTGCACACATTTTAACTGTTATAGCAACATTTCTTACGTCGCTGAACATGTTGAATTTTCTCTGTCACAACCGCCACCGTCCGGCGTGCCTGCTGTGCTCGGATTCTGACGCGTCGTTCGGTTAGACTTTTGATCATATCTGTTGAAGTATATTTCTTGTTACAGACCGGCCTAGTGTTGAACCTTAAGACCTAGACCAATTGTGATTAATCTGATGGCAAGCTTAGTCTAGACCCAAGGCATAAAGATAGTGGAGAACGTCTTGTACAACTTTGTGCTGATCAACAGACGCATCCCAATGGCACTAGATCCAGACACCGTGAACGTCACTGCGTTACGCCCTTGTATGGTTTGAAGTTACACTGAATTCATCTCGCTGATCTAAGAATCATGCTTCAGATTTATCAGTCAATATCTCAATATCTCAATATGACCCTTTGAGAGACTTTAATTGTAAGTTGGAAAGGATAACAATTGCCATACAATGGACTATCCCGTGATAATGCCACCCTCGCTTACCTCCGGTTTTCCGGAGGTTGTAGGGGCGGGGTAAGATCTGAATGCGATAGGGGGTAAACTACGCCGGAGTGAAACCTCAGGCGACCGAATGACTCCATTGCAGCACAGTAAAGACTAACTCGGGTTCAAAATAAACACAAATGATACTGAATTCTCATCAGGACATTCGGTGAAGCCACATTCAACAGTCTGTCTGCAACCGAGTTGAACAAGGGCAAGTTAACCAGCTTGAGTGGGATATAATTCTACCTGCATAGCAGCGACTGTGTCCTACATTATCAGTACTGTCCTTAATAATATTCAGAATTAGAAGATCCGGCTGCAACGCCCGCCTAACTGCCATGTTATCCGAAGGAAACAGAGGGGCCGGGATACTGCCAGATTGCCAAGGTGAAGTCGAGATGTAGAGGTCGAGTTCGAACTACGGACCTTCTGTTCAGTAAATACGCTCTTTGCCCACTGATCCATGTCGCCGACAAGGTTTACACGGGTGTGTTTACAAGTAAGCTTGTATGGCAGAAAAGTCACCGCAGTTCCTCGAGTTTTAAAGCATGATTTAGGTTTATCTAATTTGCATAGACTGTAACAAAATGTAATCGTTTTTCGAACTGTAAGTAGAGAAGACAGTACTTCAATTCAAACAAAATTCTAGTTTTGTTTCTACAGTAAAAATCACTATCTGGTTGGTGTGAGTGTGAATATTTTTAAAAATGTTTAAAAAAAATCTGATTGACATAGTCTTGGGACTGGGAAAAATCGCTTACTTTGTTCCCTCATTCTCAGATTCACATGATGGTCTCCCACGCTAGCAAAGACTGGCGTCACTGTGGACTATGCAAATATGAGTTTTATTCTGACAACGGAGGAACACCGAACCATTTGCGATTGGTCACATTCAGTTCGGACCACGAAGCTTTTACAAAACCCAAAATACCCGGGAATCCGCTATTGAGTGAAGGTGGGAGCTCTATCGACGCATGGCCACTTCCAGCGGAATTAATGTGGCGTATAATCATGACGCATGAGACAAGACATCGGGAACGTCTGTTCCAACCAAGACCCGTTCCTTATTTACCTTTGGTATTACTGGATCAGCTGATCAATGGCAAGGCTATTCAAGCAACCATAGCAGCAAACTGGCTGGTAAGAAAAGCACAGGAAGAAATGGAAGGTATCCATTCAACAGATGAACCACTTTCCAACGTCCCAGATTTGATTACTACTGAAGAAGCCTTTTCTGATAATCCGAATAAAGCTAAGCTACCAAGTACTGCTGAGACCGAGGTCGAGGAGGCTAAAACAGCGCTGATCAGCGTGTTGCGTCAGAACGATGATGAATTAGAGGACGAAACCTCGGACCGGGGTGGCCAGGTTTCTCGAGCATCCAGTATACGACTGTCCACAATTGGCACGTTACCGGGAAGCAAGCTGCCATTGTGGCTCATTCGCAAGTTTACCGAGATTGGAGAAACGAATGCTGCTAAACAGGTGGAATTAGACTTTGCTGAAAATCTGTGACATACATACACTACAGTCCGGCTCGAATCAATCGAATCACAGCTGTTATGCACCGAACACTTTAGCAAAGCATGACATCACACTCCGTCTGCTCCGTCTAGACATCGAATGGACCAGACGAAACAATACTTTACGGCTGTTATAACAACAAAAAACTCCACCTAGCTGAAAGGAACTTCAAAATATATTTACATGGCCAGTACATCGGACGTTTTTCGTTATGTGTGGATGGGACTTGTTGGCTGAACCATACATGTGGTAAACCCACTTTGTCGAACAGTTTTACGGTTAGTCGTATTTTCCAATATATTCAAGATACAATTCAAATTCTATGTGCGTAAACGTCAGAAATGACAGGTCGTACGAAATTAGTGTGGAACGAAAAAAAACCGGCAAGTAAAAGGTTAGACGCAAAATATTACTGCTCTCAGTTAGTACGCAGATTGGCAGTCGCATATTCTGTCGAATTCCTCAGCTTAACACAGAAGTGAGCCTATTGAAAGTCAGTTGGTACGACTTTGTGCAACTGCCCACATGCACACCAACGCCCGACTGAAAAAAGCAGAAACTCTGTTTGCCGAGTTTGGCAGTTGGCGAACAGACCAATAACCAAGCAGCGCATTCGAGCTATCTAACCTCCGCAAAACTGCCAGCTTTGGGGGACATAGGCTAAAAAAAGAGAAAGGTGCATCGAATAACAATTAATTGTTATCTCATGATCTGTTTTCAATACAGATATGACATTAATAGCTCTTAATCCGAAACGTGCGCAGACCTTGTTGAATGGTAATCCACCGAGAAGTCCTGGTCTTCTGCTCAATTCAACGCTACCGCAGCTTGGAAAACCCAAATTCTCTTTTCGCCTGCCACTACCCCAATCAGTCCAGCAACTTAATCACTCTTCACAGCACCTTACTGTTTGGGGATTGCAACTGCAGAACATGAGAAAAAGCCCCACTTGGAACACTCACGCTTCTCACAGTACACGTGACTCCTGCGAATCAACAGCAATCAAAGATTAATTTTCCTATTTGTCTGACTACTAATGAGTACCGTGACTTGTGCTTGTTTGTCATTACCCCGTCTCCCAGTTTCTTTGCTCCCTGCTTAGGGTTCGCTAACGCTCTAGTTACCATTTCTGGAGTTTTGTCCCTGTCCGTCCTCACTTACAGTTTCGAGTGTCTGCTCCGACGGAAAGACAGGTGGCTCAGGGATCGAATTAGGACTCCTCGGGTGTAGTGCTTTTCTTACATTCTTTTCCTTAGTACAAGAAGTTCCCACAGATGCAAAGTACTTTTTGGCAGTGTATAAACCTGTTGGCTCAGGTACTTTTACTGATGGACGACCAAAGTATTTCGTTCCAGCAACTTCCCCGATCACTGTGTAGTTATTCCAGTTTTTTTTATTGGAAAGCCCGGTACATTTCACACAAAATTTGTATCTAAAATCAGCGAGGTAGTTATCTGTTGGAGTTAGAATGTAGAGACAAGAGGTTGGTTACAGTCGAATTATGCCGAGGGCCTTGGGTAGAAAGCATCCCATCACATCACGTCTCATAACATTCCTTTGATTCTACTGAAATTATAAAATGCACACGTAAGCACGAAAATGAACGGTTTACATCTTCTGGCCCTAATCGACCACCAAAAATGTGAGTGTCTTTGTTTCTTTTTCAACTGATTTGTATCCATTTCAAACCTTTTCGTGGAAAAGGAAAACAGGTCGAGGAAGCCGTACATGCGGCTAGTTGCTGGAGAAAAGTTAAACTGGGTTTAAACCTGACGTAGTAGTTGAATCGTGGCTTATGTCGAGATGTCTTATTGAACTCGTCCTATCTGGCAAGTCCTTGTTCTTCCGATAGCAGTGTCTAAGTGGAGAAGCCCGCGATTTCTGTCAACTATATGGAAATTCCAAGTTACTGCTGATTCCAAATTGATGTGCATGCGTCTACTTGAAACACGTTCATGGAAGTTCCCTTCAGAAGATCAATTTTCAGCCACGAGGTAACATCGTGCAAACTATTTCTGTTCCTGTCCTTGGGGGGATCCACGCGTTCCTACGAGAACCAAGAGTCATTTTACTACTGGCATCAACTTTGAGTCCAAGAAAGTGCAGAGACGTGCTCTACCGCATATAATCTTTGCGTGCACCAACAACCATTGTTTCTCTCAGGAAGGTCAGATTCCTGAAATCAACTTCTGAACGCCCGGAACCTACTGCTCCACCAAAAGCTCAACTGGAAAGCCGACAAGCATCCAGGCCAGTCAATCATTCGATCAATTCAGTAAAACCTGATGAGTGTTCTCTGCGCCACAGAAGCACGACCGAATGTGATCAGCGTTCAGGCTTTTCACAGAGGCACGATCGATGTTGATGGGTGATCACTAACGCCTATCAGACAGCCTGGATCAATGTCAGAAAGTCCCCTTTAAATAGCGTGGGGCCGTTGTAGCTTTTGTATTCGTTCTCGCTCTCTCGCTCACTCGCTTGTTCGGAATATAGCTGTTGTGTTCCCTTCTGTGAGTCTTTTCTCTCCGACACTAGGCACTGGAGCGGGTCAGCAGCAGATACCTCAGATTGACGAATCAACAGATATAACAGTTTATGCCTTGTAAAAAACAGCCTCGCGGACCTCTGGAGTTATTACTTCCTTGGACGTACTGTGGGAGACTTCAACATCAGGGAAGTACTTCAATTCTCATTCAGACCACTAAGTCACAAACAGGTCTATCTACATTTTCAACGTGTTGAATTTGAAGATATCGTGGAGTTTCAAGATGCTTCTGATTCTCTTCACCGGTCTGTCCTCCTTAATACACTTGCTCAGTGAGGAATTCGTCAGACGTTTGTGAACCTAATAAATTCTTTGCACTCCTAGACCACCGGGCGTGACTGCACACGAAAAGCTTTCTAAAATTCTTTGTGTATAAGGTGCTGTCATCTTCGAAGAGGAGAAGGCACAGGTGTGCTTTTTATGAATTAACCAAATTCATCACTTCTTTGTATGAGCGAAACTGAAGGTCATGTTTCTGAACATGCAATCTCTGAACATGTCACCTCCTATCCAAGGAAAGGCACTTGAAGTTTTGAAACGTTTTACGTATTTTGAAAGTTTTATAAAGTCCAATTGTGGTTTGACGGATGAAGTTACTGCACGAGACTCTGAGGCTCGGATCACGTTTGCTGATTTGAGACACCTGTGGCTGCACCAGGCTGATTTGTGGCGGATAACGCTAGCAAATACCAGTTCAAAGTAGTTAAATCAAGTGAGTAAAAATAGGCGAGATCATACAACTCACAGTTCGTTGGTACAGTTAGTTATTACCACCACAATAAATCCAAATCCATCTCCTTCCTGGAATCTTCCTCAATATATTCCTAGATACTTTCTATCCCGTCGTAGTCTGAAAGATAAATCACCGCTCGTCAATTCACTGACAGCGTAACTCGACACGGCAAGTAGGGAACACGCCTTTCACGAAGTACAGAATTTGTATTGTTGGTATGCATCCATATTTGTTTGCTTTCATTTAAATAAGGAAGAGAAGAGGAATGCGCTGAGATTTAGTGAGAGATAGAAAGTGGTACAATTTGAGTAATGCTAAGTTACAAAGAAAGTACTGATGTACAATGGTCAGAAGGATCACCACAGAACTCCCCCCTAGAGCGTTGCATAAACAAAATAAACGCTTGACAAGGAACGCTACTAAGATATGTAATTGTGCA